TTGTTTTTGAAATCGATTAATCTCAAATTTAAAAACTCGCTACCAGTAAATATTTGGATTCAATCCCTCTCTCTCTCTTCCCCTTTTTGCCGTTTGAATCTTGAGTTGACACACCTCAAAATGTTTGAGTGCCTGAAGATGGTTTCTTTTCCAGCAAGGACAAACTCAAGGTTAGTTTTTCAATTTTTATTCTGTCTTTGAGATGCCTTTATTAATAGAAAACAACATTTTGTGCCGGTGAATTTTATAGAATTAAAATCACTCCACGCTATTAAATACCCATCTAAACTGTAGCACGTGCATCGCACGTACGTACACTAGTTTTCCCAAAAGTTGAAGTTTGTGGCACTTTTGCCTTTGCAAATGACAAAATATTATTGGCTTTTGGTGCATTTCTATATGTAACATGTTCCCCACTTCAACAAAATAAAAGAAAAAAGTATTGCTGTCCTATATCATCGGGCCATAAGATAAATAACATAATAAAGGATCGTGATGAATACTGTAAAGTTAATCATTTCATTTCAAAAATTAAATTGTTAAAAAAAGACACATTTATTTATTTATTTATTTATTTGTATTTGATTCATTCCTCCATATATACATGCATAAAATAGTAATAATCATAATTTTAAAACATATTTTATTTTACTCAAATATGATGACAGTTTTCTTTTTTTTTTTTTTTTTTCGAGTTGACATTAATTAGGACATGGGGTGTATCATTTATTCAATTTATTGTTTATTTATTATGAAGTACACAACAAGGCATGTGGAAAATATAATCGTCACATGATTTCTTTTCTTAGGTTGGACTATGGTAAATAACTTCATATTCAAGAAATACACACTAAGAATTAAAGATCTCTACTCTTATCAATTTTTGTAAATTGCAAGATTAACAGGCAATTGATACAAGTCAATCATTTTTTAAATTAATGGTAAGTTTTGTTATACCTACATGTCTGGGCAAGATTTTCCTTCCAAAAATTGATTTTTAGTCCATTGAATTCTGACACACCAGACACAGAAATCAGCAGCAAATCTTCCATTTTTGACCGTTGCCTTGTTCAACGGTATGAAAAGCACTTTTTTGGCAAATTAAAATCGCTCCCAGACAACCGCAACCTTTCAATTAGTTTCAATTAATCACACACATCTCCTTTTTTAAAGAGTAAAGTTATAATACCAGACCAAGTGACATTAAATGATAGACAGAATTAATTGGATTTCATATTCCCTACATATTTGATCGAGTCTTATCATTTAATTTCACTTGGTATTGTGACACTACTAATAAAAGATGTCATTTTTTTCTTTTCGAAATAAAAAGAAAAAAACTCAGGATGGTGTATTGATTGTCACACTATGGATTATTAAATCCCAATGCGCACATTCTTGTAGACGGAATAATAATTTCTTTTCGTGATATAAATCCTAGAAATACGAAATGCTGAAGTGTGATTAGACTATCAAAGTAGAATCGGCAAAAATTCTAAATCCTATCAAGGTTGAAGCATGCTTATTCTTTTTTTAAAAAAAAAAATAGTTATAAGTTGTAACATGAAGTAGAACTTGAAAGAATGTGAAGAAAAAAATAAATTTTTAACCATGAAATAATAAAGAAAATAACAAGTGATAACTTGTTCATCAAGTTTAATTTCAATAATTAAGCCAAGGAATATAATTCCAGATGTACCTTTTCAATTGATTGAGAATAAAAAAAATTAGTGTCGACATAAATCCTTTAAATATCACCAAACATTTTTTCTTACTTTAAATATCACCAAACATTTTTTCTTAGAGAAATATGAATAGTTTCATAGCATCCACGTATTAATCCTTGATTTACAACTGATTCTCCAGAGATAGTGACATATAACTAATGAAAACTGAATATATGACTAGTTAGTATCAATACATGATCTTATTTCTTGACGCGTCAATGAAATAGTAGGCATACCTACCAAAATAACAATCAAAAGTCCATATCCGATAGAAATTTTTTGAGAATATAATTTATGGATCCATGTAGGGATGACAGATGGTCGAACCACGAGCTCATTTTGAGACAAATTATGTACTGAACCGAGCTCACTTTTTTTCTACGAGCCGACTTGTGGGCTAACTATTTTTGAGTTTATTTTTTTATTATTACTTTTTTAAAAATGGGTAAACCCATGCACATCATTGTTTACATTGTGCTATGTGACAATACGCTATTAGATAATATATATAAAAAAAAAAAAAGCGTTTTTTCGCCAATGAAATTATGCCATTTGGATTCTGTCAAAACTGATGTACACTTTTGATGTACAAATGACTTGACTCTTTAATAAAATCCCAGAGTGCCACGCCAAATTCGTCGGATTTAGTTCCTGTTTGACCCCAAATTTTTAAGAATTATTTATTTCAATTATTATACTTTATGGGATCGAAGTTTTTTGTCAATTTTTTAATCACATATTTTTTCAATCTTTATCAAAATTTATTTTAAAAAATATGATTTTTAGCCAAACGGATTAGGGCTTATGCTAGTCACGTCTTGATATAAGACCTCGTTTGGTATGACTTTTGATAAGTTAAAAAGAGCTTTTGAAATTCAAAAGTTAGCCTATGTTTGAGCTACATTATTTTTTTCATTTATTCTTCTACTCATTTTTAACCACCCATTCTTTAATAAAATAATATTTTCCTTCTTTTTCAACCACATATTCCCCATCACAACAATAAAAAAAAATGCATTCTTGGAGCAAAAATGTGCACCAAACAGGGACTTATTTTTGAATTCGTTTGACTAATTTTATGAAAGTGTTTGTTTTAGTTAGAAGGGTTATTAGAAAAAGTTGATCCAATATGATTCTTTAAAAACACTTTCGAAATAGTAAATTTTTTTAAAAATTAATTTTCAAATAAAAATTAAGTTAATTTTTAAAAAAAAACTCTCTTACAAGAGGGGGAATATTCAAAATAGCCTGATAAAGTTTAAGGACTAAAATGTCTTGTTTTAAAACTTTTTATTTTAAGGGTATTTTAGGTATTTTAGAATGTTAAAAAGGTCAAAGGCCATTTTGGAATTATAGCCTTGAATTTGGGTCATTCACACATATATCCTCCTTACTTACAAGAAGAAAAATAAAAATAGAAATCCTGCAAAAAGGACAATAAGTCCCATAACCTTAACCTAGAGCATGATTGATTTCATTTTTTTCTCCAAAATTAGAATAGTATTTTGATGGAGAATATACAGTTAAAAAATAATATTTTTTTTGAATTTATTTATAATATTATTTTATAAAAAAATATATTATTAAAAATAAAAAATAAAAATATTTTTTGAAAATAATGGAGACAAAAAGATGACCTTAGTCTTTATCATACACATATATTCCTCTCTCTCTCTCTCTCTCTCTCTCTCTCTTTCCAAACCCTCTCTCTCTCGCCTGACCCGTCTTCTCTGTGTGCTCGCCGGAGGGGTGGGAGCCTAGGCTCCTTCCTCTTCCCCCTTTTCCCTCATCTCTTCTTCTTTGTTTCCCTTTTCTTTTTGTTGCCTGTGGTTTCGGTGGTTTTGCAGGCGTCGTTTTTTTGGGTTGGTGGCGGTGGTCCCGTGACCCAAGGCGGTGGTGGTCGCGGGTGCTTTGGTCGAGGAACGGGGCGGCAGTCCTCCCCGTGTGTGGAGGTGGTGTGTTTTTCCGTTTTCGGGCTGGGTCCTCGTTTTCCGCTCAGTCGTCTCTGGTGGCTGGAGTAGGCGAGGCTGCTGCTGGTTTTGGGGTTTGTCGGCGAGCCTTTTTGGCTGGGTTTCCAGCGTTGGCTGCGGGGTGTTGATCGGTGGTGTTGGTGTTTGGTTGGTGTCGGTTGGTGGTGTGTGTTTGGTGTTTAGTTTAGGTGTTGTTGTTTTGTTGTGGTTTTTATGTTGTTTTGTCTGTGTGTTTGTTCGATCGTTGTGAAGTCAAGACACTGCTCGCTCATTGTGAGGATACTAAATTGCTGATTGCGTAGTTGCCTTTCAGTCGGGCCTTGCCTGTATTGTAAAGTCTGTTTTATGACTTCGTTTGGGTCGTCTGTCTTGGATCGTGTATTTGTTTTAGTTCATGTCTGTTTCTAGTGGTCATTCCTTTGGCCGTGGTGGCACTTTTTCTCTCTTCCGAGAGTCTGGTCCTCCTCCTTGTCACTGCATTTTTTGCGCCTTTTATGGAATGTCTTTTAAAAAAAAAAAAAAAAACATTTCAGCTAAAGCTATCGTCAATCCACCCCTCCATTTTGACTCAAATTCTGCATGCACCGCTCCACGTGCCCCTCTGTCTCCCTCACACATTCAAACACACACTAAGCCATGGAACCAAAATAAACTGAAAAATCTCGTTTCTCTTTAGATTCTCTATGTGGACAGTGACATCATCTCGCCGCTTTCCTCTCTTTTCCCTTCTGGCCCACAAAAATTTCTGCTGAAAATCTCTGAGAAATAAATGTATAAAATATTTCTTACGCATATCAACTGAAGACAGAGATAGAAATTTTAGGGAGAAGGAGAAAGCGAAATAGGAGAGTCAACAGATAAGTTCACCGTCTCAATTACTGTCTCTTTCTACTTCTTCTCACATCTCACATCTCTCTCTCTCTATCTTTTTGCTTATTCTTGGGGGTCTTAATTGAAATCTGGTTCTTCTTCTTTTGTCTTTGCTGTATCGGTATTTTTTTTAATAGCTCATCGGTTTACATAATCTTAGTGTATATTAGTGGTTCAAAGCTATATTATATTCTTTTCTTTTAGCTGGATGTGGAATATATAGACACTAGAGATTGAATACGAAGACCTCACCTTTATTTTGCTTCTTGAATTTTGAAAAATCCAAATTTTGAGCTGTCTTGGAAGGAAAAATCGTATACATACAGTAAAATTATGGCATTTGACCAGAAGTCAGAATCCAAAGATTTGCGCCCTCTGAATATTCCCAGAGCAGTGCCTGAAGACCCACGCGTTGCACCTGTGACATCGTCTGTCAGGCCCATTGAAGGGTTTTACCTGAACCCTCCTCGTGATGCCGGGGGCAACCTCGATTCTTTGCCTCCAGTATACTATCCAGCCACGATTTCTGATGCTGGATTTATACCACTGGGATATAGCAATGCGGTCCCTGGGGCTGCCGGGTGGGTCGTGCGTGGAGTGCCGCCCCAATGCCAATCGGGCGTGCTTGGTGCTTCTGTGCTTCATTCGGTGTGCGGGTCTAGTAACAGTCCAAAATTTGGAGCGCAGGTAGCGGGCAGTGCTTCTGATCATACTAGTGACGCGGGTGGTGATGGCTTTGTGTTTGGGCGGAAGGTTAAGTTTTTGAGTAGCTTTGGGGGCAAAATACTGCCTAGGCCGAGTGATGGGGCATTTAGATACGTCGGTGGGCAGACTAGGATAATTAGCGTTAGGAGGGATGTTAGTTTTGGTGAATTGGCTCAAAAGATGGCAGATACATATGGGCAGAATGTGGTGATGAAGTACCAATTGCCCGAGGAGGATCTTGATGCACTTGTGACGGTTTCATGCCCTGAAGATCTTGAGAATATGATGGATGAGTATGAGAAGTTGGTTGAGAGGTCTTCAGATGGGTCGGCTAAGTTGAGGGTATTTTTGTTTTCACCTTCAGAACTTGAGTCTGCCAATTTGTTACATTTTGGAGATTTCCAGGATAGTGGGCAGAGGTATGTTGAAACAGTGAATGGAATTTTGGATGGATTTGGTAGTAGCGATGGTGGTAGTGGTAGTCATCGTATTGCTAGGAAGAAGAGCTTTGAGAGTGCTGTTTCCACTCAGAATTCTGATTTGAGTGGTACTGAGGGTGCTGATAACTCCGGCCATGGTCATGGTGAGGTTACTGGTTCTCCATCTACTGGTGGATTATCACCGAGGGGAAATCCCGTTGTTTCTCTTGAAACAGCTCCAAGAAATGTGTGTGCTGATCCTATTGTTGCAGTATATACGGATCCTTCTACTCAACTGGGTATTCCCATGGCTAAATCTGGTCCAGCTACAACTGTGGCTGCTGTCTCTGAACAAGAGTTACAGAGATATTTGCCTCTTAATGTCCCACAGCCACAGATGGGATATGATTTCCAGCAACCTGGAGTGACTTTCCCAGCATCTTCATCTCATGTTCAGGCTTATGTGGATCCTCACTATGAAACCTTGAATCATGCTGATTATGTGCAACCCCCTTCTCAGATGGGATTCCCTGCAAACATTTATGGTGCAGTTGGGCCTGTGTTCTCCCAACAGCAGTTGCCAGCTGGAGCTTCTCCTCAGCAGTTTATTCCTGCAGTAAATATGACAATGAATCCTTCATTTATCAGTATGAAACCTAATGCAGTTTCATCTATTATTCAGCCTCAGCAAGTTCGTTTGGGGCATCATCCTGCAGAAAGCACACTGCCACAAAGGGTTGTCCAGGTTCCTGCGGACCAAGGATATGGTGTGCAGTATGCTCAGGTCCCTACAACAGTGCCAGGAGGAGTGTATGGTTGGCATCAAGTCCCACATCTTCAGCCCGTCTTTTCAGAAGGAGGGTTGCCCTCTCAACCAGTTGTGGTTTCTGAGAAAATTCCTAAACTCGATGACTGTTACATGTGTCAAAAAGCATTACCACATGCTCATTCAGATTCAATAGCTAAGGACCAAAATGGAAGTCCTGCAAGCATGTTGTCTGACTCGAGAACAATTTATCAGAGTCTCCGGTTGGATGATAATGGGCAGCTGATGATCCGGCCTGTATTATCTGGTTCTCAAACAGAAAGTGTTTCTGAACAACTGGTAGCTGGAGCTCTACCAAGAATTATGGGTTATGTGGATCATGAAGCTGGAAAAGTCCAAGTAGATAGAATTGGGGTCTCCCAGAATCCTGAGGGACCTTACGCTAATGATAAAACTATTCTTCAGAAGGCACAGAATCCTGAACATTTCGAGGTGTCAACTCCCCAGGGTTTAATGATGACAAGCAGTGCACAATCTTCACATGGTGTATTTGTGGCCAATATCCCTCAGACGTATCAAGATTCTGTCCAGCAGCTTGTTTCATCTCAATACCAGGTTGTAGAGGGTTCCACAATGAGCAGACCAGTTAATAATGATATAGCTTCTGTTGGAGGCATGCTTTTACAGACTTCTGATTACGTTTCTCGCGAACCCTCGAAAGTCTACTTTGGTAAAGTTGCTGGAACCATTCCTAAAGAAGATTCAACTTCCATGGCCTTTGACCAGCTGAGACAAATAGATAAGAGGTTGGAAAATCTTCAGATGTGCCCTTCTGAAGTTCTAGCTAATAATGAGCCGGTCAAGCCAGTTGCTGAACCCAAAAAGGAAGATATATTGGAGAACAGATTACAACAGGTTACTGGGAGGGAGGGTCCCAAAATGCATAATTTTCTTCCAGCAGAATCCTATGAATTGACTGAACCTCCTCTTTTAGGTAATCCCAATTCTTACCTTCACTCAAAGCTTGGGGTTAGTAATTTGGCTGCTGATGAAATTTCTGCTGGCAACCCTGGTGTGGAATCTGCTCATCCAGCTGAAATAATTCCACCTACTAATAAATGGAAGGATGACACTCTATGGCCTCAACTAAGGATTCCTGCTGACTTAGAATCTGTTGACCTGGAGGGAAAGGGACAATCTGTAGATCCATCCTATGGGGTTGCAGATATGCCAGATAACTCAAACTCACTATTTAGCAACCAGGATCCTTGGATTTTACGTCATGATTCTCATTTTCCTCCTAGACCTAGCAAAATTCAAATAAGAAGAGAAGCTGGAGGGACTAGGGATGCTCCTGGTGACAGTCATCCTGTTAATGGTGAGTTACAAACAGGCAATTGCAAGGAGTTGGACATAAAGGTACCATTGGAAGATGGAGCTTTCCTGTCATCTGGAAATTTGAATGGAGGTTTAAGATCCGAGCATGTTATGTCTGATAAAGGTAAGAACTGTTAGATTTTTCATTTTGATGCACAAAAAAAACACCCTTCTTATTTTCATGGTTATTCATTGATTTTGCTCTTACTTATAAAGGGTCAGCAGAGGACCTCATTAAGCAAGAACTTCAAGCTATTGCCGAGGGAGTTGCCGCTTCTGTTCTTCATCATTTGTCTATGCCTTCTAATTCTGAACTATCAGATGCCAGGAGCGAGTTTCTATCTACAACTCTACGAAGTGGTGAAGATCAAAATACTAATACAGAAATGGAGCTTAGAGAGAAATATGAGGTTTGTAATTCATTCTTCTCTCACGCACATAAGTTTGTCTTTTATGTGCAAGTATCTATTACATTTTTCAATTTTTCATTATATTTGTTTGATACACGTTCTCAATTATCTGATATAGGATATCAAGACTGAATTCGCAGAGAAGATAAATTTTGGATTTCCTGCAGATAGTATTGGCCGATTACAGGTTTGAGATGTGCATCTTTGATCTTCCCGTGACCAAATAGGCTTGCGATCTAAGTTTGTCCTATATCTCCCTTACCTTTTAATTTTCCTCTCACTTCTCTTTTATTGTTGGTCGTTAGATAATTAAAAATAGTGACTTGGAAGAGCTACGTGAACTTGGTTCTGGTACCTTTGGCACTGTTTATCACGGTAAGTGGAGAGGCACCGATGTTGCAATCAAACGGATAAATGATAGATGTTTTGCAGGGAAACCATCGGAACAAGACCGCATGGTCAGTGTCCCTACCCATTGGACAACTAATATTCTTAATCCTCAAATGTATTATGCTTTTAATTGTATGTTTTAATTATTCTATCGTTCTTATGAATAACCAGAGAGATGATTTCTGGAATGAGGCAATCAAGCTTGCTGACTTGCATCATCCCAATGTGGTTGCTTTTTATGGTGTTGTGCTTGATGGCCCCAGTGGTTCAATTGCAACTGTTACTGAATACATGGTTAACGGCTCTTTGAGAAATGCTTTGCAGAAGAGCGAGAGGTAATGCCCTTTATGGGGTTGGCTTGAATGATTTTTGTTGTTATATCTGCGGATTAGCTTCGTTTATTTGGCATTCTCCAGCATGTCAGAAGTCTTCCATCCATGTCTAACATGATATTTATACTTATTCATTCTTTCAACTCTTGAATAATATTATCAGGAATCTTGATAAGCGAAGAAGGCTTATGATCACCATGGACGTAGCTTTTGGAATGGAGTACTTGCATGGAAAGAATATAGTGCATTTTGACTTGAAAAGTGATAATTTATTGGTTAATCTACGTGATCCACATCGACCTATATGCAAGGTCAGTTACTGCATATGGTTCTATTCAGTTTCATTTAGTCTAACATGTCATTGACACATAACCCATTGTTGTTTTGGTTTCTCTTTTCCCAACCTCAACTTCCAGGGGAAAAAGAAGAAGAAAAAGAAAATAACAAAAAGTCACCCACCTCCTCATGAAATGATATTGACTTAAAACTGTTAATGACAAGTTGTTGATATAGCTACGAATTCAGTATACTTAATTTGTTACCTAGAACAATTTACATTTATTCAAACTTGAAGCTATTCAATTTATTGTGGTTTGTCACAAGATTATTTTATTATGGTTAAGTCCATTCCTAAAGACAAAAAAATTAAATTGAACACTTCTAAATTAAAATGATACAGAAAAACAAATAATTTTTAGCTAATGCTATGTATTTTCTAACTGGATCTTGGCAAATAACCGCATTGATGATGCAATGACGATGGATTGAAATACTCTTGCTTTCTCAGTTTCTTTTTCTAATCTCCCCGGGATGCTTTCCTCTTTAAAAGAAGTCCTGGAATATTGTAATTAGATAGGATGAGCCTGTGGTTTAAATTTGGAGATGACTCTTGATATAGCAAATGGAAGAAAAGAATCCATGTAATCGACCCAATGGTCCCACATAAATATGTGGCAAGGCTTTTTTGATTTGGGTATCTCTTCCTAAGTTCATTATGCCCTTGTTTGGAAGTGATAATTTTAAAATCACTTACCCCCATCCATTTTCAACCCCACATTCTCAAAAAAAAATAAAAATAAATAATAATAATAATAAAATAAAAAAATAAAATTTTTTTTCACGTTTCTCAATAACTTTTTCTCACCTTTTGACCGCACATTCTCTTGAAAAATCACTTTCACACAAGCACTAAGATGCATCTGGTATATGATTACTTTGTTTTTTTTTTTTTTTTACCTTAAAAAAGGAGAGGAAAGCATGCAACTGTCTTTCTGGGGATGTGTTGCTGTGGTTATTATTTTCTTGCTCAAAGTAGTGAAAATGACTTGCATTTGTATCATGTTCTTTAAGGGGCAGTGTGCTACATTTTTTAGATGGTGAGGTAGTTGTGCAGAGATGCAGTGAGTAGGAGAATTATTTGGAGCAAGAGGCATGACAGGACTGGATTGGAGAATGTTTTTATGTATTCTTACTCATAATTGATATTAATGGACTTTGTAAATGAAGCTCATGGTAGAGGGCAACGGATGCCTTAAATAGGTAATGTAATCCTTACATCAAGCTCCTAGCATACCCAGAAGGTTCCATGACTTCAGCAGCCATTTCGTTATTGTCTTTGTAGACCCCATCTGTATGCTCCCATTTAGAGTTTCAATTAGCATGTTTGGTAACAATGGGTTAGATGCTTATTGAGGAGAGTAAGGAGCTAATTATTTAGCTTTGATTTTTAAGGTAATGTTTGGGACACACAAGCCTTGGTTGAGTACAATTGTGGCCCATTTATTAAAAAAAAAACGATGTCATATTATTCAATATACAAAAAGGAGCATAAAGAGATTATTAATAAAGTGTAAACCCTTGACTGCATCCTTAACAAAGGAAGAGATTAAAATGTCCTTGATGAAGAAAATAAACAACATAATATCTCTAAGAATTTAACCAAATCCTCATTTGAAAACTGTTAGTTTAGCATAAGAAGGTTTTCAGCCAATCCATTTTAGACTTAAACCGATTATGTTCGATCGAAAGATTTTTGAATAGCAAATATTTGGGCCTATTTCAGGTCCTTGTCATTGCCATCAACAAACCCTAGTATAAGTTGTCAATTGTATATGTTGGACTATATATTTACCACTAAGTAGATTTTATTGTAAAGTCTATCTATATGTGTCCCCTACTTCCCTTTACTTAGAGATCTTTTATTTCACAGGACTTGGGATGTATTTAAATTATCATTCACATGATCTCATAGATTTATATGCTTGTGTTCAGCGTTCTTATGGTGGACATGGTGTCATTCTGTGGTTTCTCATAGATTCATGTTGCATATCCAACTTTATTCTCTCTTCTTGTGTATTTAATATTGTAGAAAAGAGCCCAGTTGAAGCAAAAATTTCATTCTTTGTGTGTTTAATAACTGTTAGTTTGCTGTCATAGGAACGGTGGTATCCATCTTAGTATAGACGTAAACTAGGGAACCACTAAACATCGGTATGGATCACGGACTCCATTCCTTGTGCCGAGTGAACCAATCCTTCATTATGATGTAGAAAACAGTTCTCTTGATTCCTCCTGTTTATTAAGCAATATTTCTCTCTCATTTAGGTTATTGATTAGTGTTGAAGATATGGAAAGAATAATTTCTATAATATTTTTCCAATAGTGTGGGATTATTTTCCTTAATAGTTGATTGTATAATTATTATGTAATATTTCCTTGTAGAGTTATTTATAGCCCTATAAATATGGTCTTTTACTTTAATAGAAACAAGTTTATTATATACAATTTACAATATTCTTCACATGGTATCAGAGCTTGAATTTCGTTTCCGGCAAGCAGCCTTGAGCCGCTCGTCCGGCTACCAATGTTGTTTTTCTTTTTATTTTATTTTATTTTCGGATGCATCCCTACAAAGTCGCACCACATTCCGGTGGCCGGAACTCAGTTTCTGCAACACCAGAAAGCATAATGTTCCTGATTTGAGATCGGGATAAATTCAAGAGAGAAAGTTTGGTTCTGCCTTTGGGTACTCTGCTTTCTGGGTGGTTGTCTTTCAAAATTCTAAGTCTCGTCTGTTTCATCTTCGGTGCCGAAGGTGAAATATTGGCGAGCACATATGTTATTTTTGTAAGGTGTTGTGTGATTTGGTGTGGAGATCAGCCGATATGTGATTATGAAATTAATTGGGCTTTAGATTTTGATTTGTGTAGAAGACAACGATTGGTTATGGTTTTGGGTCTTCGCCTGGAGATAAGTAGCAGATCTGGTCGGGTTGAATTTTCGGCAGCTTTGTTCCTAAGTTTAGTCGGCAACATCGTGAGCAGGTTGCAGAGAGAGCTACGTTCTGAGAGAAGGAAGATTTGTGCTGCATTTTTAGAGGTTTTATTCCTGTTGAGCCCGTGATAATTTATTTCGGCCATTACTTCACTTGGGCTATTAAATTGGTGAGATAATTGATTAAATATGGGCTGTGAGAATTTATTGAGCTGTTAAGAGTAATTAGGCCAATTATTTAATTGGTTTGATTTTACTGTGGAATATATGGGTTTTTTCGAAGTTGGATATTTTCTCCTCTTAATCTTGTTTGGAGTTTCTTTAGCTTTTTGTAATCTGGAATTTGGTCTAGTTTATTTGGAATTTGGTTTAGTATATGTCGAGTTCATTTGGAATTTGGTTTAGTATATATCCAGTTAATCTGAAATTTGATTTGGTGTTAGTTCGGTGTATCCAAAATTTGAAATTTGCATCCAGATTATTTGGTATTTGTCGAGCTGGAATTTGAAATTTGCGTCTAGTTCATTTGGTATTTATCGAGCTGGAATTTGAAATTTGTGTCCAGTTCATTTGGTATTTGTCGAGTTGGAATTTGAAAATTGCATTCTATTAATTTGGATATGAAATTTGCATCCCTTTGATTTAGTAGTGGATGCGATGATTTCTCCTTCAAGTCTTGGTGATAGTTTGGTCAAATTAGTAGATGATGATTTTTCATTATCATCAATTTTGAGTTATTTGTTGAGCTTGGTTGACATCCAAGCAATTTCGAAGATTTAGTTGGATTGATTTATTTTTCAAACTCAATTTGATTGCTGTTACATTATATTGAGTTTGAGAGAGGGTGTTGAAGATATGAAAAGAATAATTTCTATGATATTTTTTCAATAGTGTATTATAATTTTCTTTAATAGTTGATTGTATAATCTTTGANTATTATATACAATTTATAATATTTTCCACAATTAGACTGCTAAACAAATCAATGTCTGATTTAATAAATCTTAAATGGCGGGAATTTTTAAGATGATGTTACAACAATCATGGTTGTAAAATTAAGTATTTTTATGGAAATCTGAGTTATATACAAATATCATACGGCTGTTAAGTTGCAGTTGTCACTTGACCCGTTACATGGGAGCTTACGCTTTACTTCGATCGCACTCAGTGTTCTAGGATAATACTAAAATATTCTTTTGTATTCCTTTATAGCAGTGTTTTGTAGTTATCCTGGAATCTCCTGGTACTTTTTTCTCATTTATCTCAACTACTTACAGGTTGGTGATTTGGGGCTGTCAAAGGTAAAATGTCAGACACTAATTTCAGGTGGCGTGAGGGGAACTCTTCCATGGATGGCACCGGAGCTTCTTAATGGCAGTAGCAGCCTTGTGTCTGAGAAGGTTTCTTTCTGATCATCCTATCATTTGAACACTTGCCCACAATCCTCGCCTCCTTTCTCACCCGGTTATTTTCCAGAGAAAGGAAAAGGAAAAGGGAATAGCTAGTTGATTTAATTAAATGATTTGCTGAATGCATTTTACTGAAAATGGGAAAAAGATAGTAGCTTCTTTCTTAATTATGATTTTGCTCGAATGTATGATCTACAGGTTGATGTATTCTCGTTTGGAATTGTAATGTGGGAACTTCTTACTGGAGAAGAGCCGTATGCGGACTTGCACTATGGAGCCATTATTGGTATAATCTCACATTCCAATTCCTTGTGTATTTATAACGATTATGGTATGTGTGATATGATGGACAGGTTTACCTGTCAAAAAGTACAACATCAAGTAAGAAAGAGGAGTTCAAATCTTTTTCATTTATTACTGTAGGTGGTATTGTGAGCAACACATTGCGACCTCCTGTGCTGGATTCTTGTGATCCGGACTGGAGAGCTCTGATGGAGAGGTGTTGGTCTGCAGAACCATCGGAAAGGCCAAGCTTCACTGAGATTGCAAATGAACTACGAAGCATGGCAGCTAAGCTCCCTCCAAAAGGACAAGTCCAGCAGGCACTTTCATCAACAAATCCTCAAGTCAAAAGCTAATTATGTTCATGCTTTGCATGCTGCAGCTGTTCTTTTCTAATTCTGTGCTTTATACAAGTCTCTTTTGTAAGTTGATTGAAAACACGTAGCTCAAAATGTAACCACAAAAGTGGTGTATGAATGTATTATAGACTATTCTTTATGGTTTGTTTGGAATGAATTTTACTTTTTGTAGAAAAGCTTCTTGAGATACTAATTTCTAAATGAGCTTCCAATTTCGGAAATGTTTTTAGAGGAAATCATATCGAACAATTTCCTCTAAAGGAACACTTTCATAAAATTTGTCAAATAAATTCTAGAGTAGTTTTTCAATTTCCTTTGTACGTTTAAGTCATGTCAAATAATCAAACGGGTCCATAATCTCTAAGTATCAGGGTAAAATAAATGAGTAGTCACTGAACTTATCAAATAAATTCAAGAGTAGTTTTTCAATTTCCTTTGGACGTTTAAGTCATGTCAAATAATCAAACGGGTCCATAATCTCTAAGTATCAGGGTAAAATAAATGAGTAGTCACTGAACTTTGACTTGTGTAACTAGTTACTAACTGAACTTTAAAATATAACTCAATACTCACTCAAATATCATAAACGTAACTCATCCATAACTGAGATGGAATCCTATTGAAGCCTTTGACGGAATTGTCCACGTGGTGGATGGAAATATGATGTGGCATTATTTAACTGTTAAAACACTCCACGTCAACAAATCATTCTTCCAAACAGCACCTAGCATGACTAAACAATTGACATCACGTTTATTAACATTGGAGAGGATTAAATCTTAAAGGTAGTCTGAAAATCACTCTCAAATCCTAATTCTAATCCCAAACTTTCATTCTTATCTTGGAGATGCTTCATTCATCAAGTAAACCTCAAATTGTGGAAGGGACATTATGCCTTTGTGGAAAAGTCTCTATTGTCAGGAATCATGGACAAAAAATGGGGCGATGAATGCAGATTTCATGGGCATTAAAAATTATAAGTTCGGATTTTGTGTTCTTTTTTGTGAATGTTCTTATTCAATTTTGGTGGTTCAAAAAGTGAAGAGTGTATAGCCATGAAGAAGGAAAAGAATCAGAATGATTTTTGTCTATGTATTGTTTGTCAAAATGCCACTTAGAGCATTCGTTGTGTGTTGGCATATGGTTTATGGTGCTGTAGTTTGTATTAGGTATTTTTGTGTCTTTTTTATTTGTATTATCTATGTAAATCTCCTTTGCAACATTTTATCTATAATACAGAAACATTTCTCTTCCAGCAACATTACTTAAGAAATCATGAAGTTCAAATGAAAGCTGTGTCCTTACACATTACAAAAGATTACTTAAAGACATTTAAATGTATCATTATACATTACAAAACATTGAATGGACTGAAAAATACTACTTCTATAGTTCTCCTCTAGTTTCTTTTGTACATGGAAAAAGATGTGCATGATTCACCACTTATAAGTAAAGTTTAAAATGTCAGCCATGAGTTAACTGAATATAAAAGTGAAGATTCCTGAATAAAAATAAAATGTAACTATAAAAGTAACTAAATAACAATGCTCCAATTACCATAACAATCGTAAGAAAAAGAATCAATTTTTCGATAAGCAGAAATCTGGAAACCATAGTTTAGAATCCAAGAATTCGCAAGTAAGACCATAAAAAACATAGCAAGCACTAGAATCCAAGAATTTGCAAGTACAGACCATAAAAAACATAGCAAGCAAAAACTTATATATATTGGATTGACAATGTTCTCATAACAATTCAAATATGTTCTCATCTTATAGCAATCATGAACATATACATCCATATGAGGGTTATTGTAACGGTCTTTAATGGCAGCCACTGCATGTGCACATGGGATGCCTGATAGTTGCCACCTCCGACATGCACAAGTATGATTGGGCAAATCAACAACATACTCTCCTGATGGACATACCACATATGACTGAGGACCCCCAGACTATTCTACTTCGCACTCATTTGCCATGTCAATGATCTTGTTTAACTTCTTTTGAATTTTTGGACATAATGGTCCTTCAACCCTCATCATCTTATCCCTCCTCATTTGAATCTTTTTCATGAAACTAATTTGAATATCTATTAGCATAGTCAAAATTGATTTCTCTCTATCTTCTAAGAGAATCTTATTGAAACACTCGCACGAGTTGTTCAAGAGAATGTCACTTTTGGATTTAGTGGAAAAATGAGACTTACTCCACTCTGATGGATCCTTCTTCATTAACCATCCATAGGCACGTTCACCGAACTTCTTTATTTCCTCCATCCAAAATTTGTAATCAGCAACTGTAGTGGATTTAGCGGCTCTCCATAAGTAGTCTTTAAGAGTTTTGTCCTTGAAGTCTTCCCTAAAGAAGTTTGTGTACATGTGTCATACACAATACCTATGTTCAGCTAGAGGATAGCTAGCATCAATCACATTTTGTAACCCCTTTTGCCGATCGGTCATAAAAGTCCATTCATTGTTGTTATCAATTTGAAGATCTTCTCCCAAATGCCTAAGGAACCAACCCCAAGTAGCCATATTCTCCCTCTCCACAATGGCATATGCAATAGGGTACATACAATCATTGGCGTCTAAGCCAAAAGACGGTAGTCGACTTTGCCGCCCGCCAAACAAAATCCTTAAGAATTTTGCGCTTGAAGCCCGCGTAGAAGAAGTTTGTGTACATGTGTCGTACACAATACCTATGTTCAGCTAGAGGATAGCTAGCATCAATCACATTTTGTAACCCCTTTTGCCTATCGGTCATAAAAGTCCATTCATTGTTCTTATCAATTCGAAGATCTTCTCCCAAATGCCTAAGGAACCAACCCCAAGTAGCCATATTCTCCCTCTCCACAATGGCATATGCAATGGGGTAGATACAATCATTGGCGTCTAAGCCAACTGCTGAAAGCATCTGGCCCCCAAAGCTTCCTTTCAAGAAACAACCATCTAAACCTATCAATTGCCTACAACCCCGTAGAAAACATATCTTACATCTTCTAAGCATACATATATGCCTTGAAGTTTCGAATCGTTAACAGCAATTATAACCATAGACCCAGGATTTGTTCTTATCACTTCTGTAGCGTATGACCGTAGTAGCCCAAATTGATGTTCATCTGACCCTTCTATCAACAATCTAGCATATTTCCTAGTCCTACATACAGTCATCCTATTAATCTTCAGTTTCAAATCTTCTTTGACTATTTTTACAAAATTACTGGTTTTCCAATCGGGATCAACTTTAAATCTCTCCAAGTATTTCTCATCAAGATACTTGTACGTGCAGTGCCTATTTGTGCCATCTCTACTGCATGTATGTGTAGGAGCGATTGACTTTATTTGTACATATCATCCCTTTTTGGTCCACGAAGCCCATACCCTCCATTTGCATCCTGATTTACACACCGCTTGTACCCTTTTGGCATCGTTAACTTTGAATCTAATATTAGTCCTACTCATAACCCNCATCTGTGTTGTCCTCAAAGTTGAAGCCTGCACAAATATATATAGGGTTAGAATTTTCTTGCTTGCTACAAAAATTAAGATTCCAAAATCTTAAGAAAAAATAAGTATATACTAAAAATCAACAAATAGAAAATACAGTTTGTTCCTTTTTTATGGTTCTGATTCTAGTCCAAGAACAAAACAAAAAATACACAAAATCCAACATTTATTAACATCCAAAAAAAAAAAAAAATTATTATATATGGGTCAATAAAAAACATTAAATTAAGATTTACAAAATGTGGGGCTTAACATATACCTTCTTGTAGTCCACATGGTTGCAAAAATCCATTTTCATTCATTGTGTTGTCTTCAAACTCGAAAGTATTTGGGTCACCCATATCCAAGAAATTTATGGAAAGAGTAGGGTTTCTTTGTTTTGTGAAAATTGAAGAATTTTTTTGTTACAGGAGAAAAATGAAGATTTTGATTAGAGTTAGGATTTGGGAGTGAAGATTTAATCCTCTCCAATGTTAATAAACGTGTTGTCAATTGTTTAGTAGTGTTAGGGGCTGTTTGGAAGAGTGATATGTTGACGTGGAATGTTTTAACGGTTAAATAATGTCATACCAGATTTCCATCCGCCACGTGGACAATTCCATCAAAGGCTTCAAACGGATTCCATCTCAGTTATGGATGAGTTACGTTTATGATATTTAAGTGAGTGTTGAGTTACATTTTAAAGTTCAGTTAGTAAATAGTTACACAAACTAATTTTAGTGGCCAATCATTTATTTTACCCCTAAGTATCATGGAAAATATTTCAAGACAAACCGTTAAGGAAAACTTTTTTGTTCTCTCTTTAACTTTTGATGTCAACAATGTCCAATTTTCGAAGAATAAATTGGCAAAACTCACTTATAATATGTTCATTCCAAACCAGTCTCCCTCAGTGTGATGGGGAGAAAGTTGAAATCTTCATTATTATATGTAGTTTGGCTATTCCAAAGTCAAATTGTTTGGTAGATATAACCAATTCCGCTAGAATAAGATAAGTTAAACAATAAACTGGGACAGTATACCTTTGCTTCTGGCTGTAGCTATGGCTATGGTGTCCAAGAAAGATATGTCGCCCGCCTATGGAGAAACAGTGGAAGAAATCTTGAAAATCTACAAATCACTGCCGCCGAGACCCTCCATTGAAGAGGTTGAGGCTGCAACATCTGTAATCGACACAGTGGAAGAACAAGAACGCCTTCGATTGGAGGAAATCTCCAATCAACTGCCCCCACAAGATGTTCTCCCAGAGCTCTTCTCTGTGCTGCAACAAGTGAAGAAGAACATGGTTTTGTTACAAAGCTATGAGCAGAGGAAAGAGGCCGTCCACTTGATTGAGCTCGACAAGATTTTCAAGGTGTTTGATGGGCTAATCCAGAAGGCTTCTGGGTTTGTTTCTGGAAATGATCATGTCGAGGATCAGCGAAATTCTAGTGATGTAATTGAAATTGATGAGGTTGAGGCCGAAAACGTTGTGATCAGTGATGAGAATTCGACAATCAGGAAGATTATTGAAAAAGCTGATCGAGAATATTCGAAGAATGCTGATGATTTTAAGGGTTCTTCTACAAAGGCTACCATTTCCCCTGCAGGTTTTTGTGAAATTTTATCCTTTCTTTACATCCAAGTTTACAACCTTTTCATTTTACCTAGAAATTTAGCATATGACACGATTTATTATTCTGCAAACAGATTGTTTTCATGTTCTTAATTTTTTAATCATTGGAAAATGGATAAATTTGGATAATCATGGCGCAGAAATCTCAAGAATTTGTAATTCTCAATAACTCTATTCTTGCCAAAGGAATGGGTATTGGAGAACTATCCATATCTTTTAGAAATGAAGAGGAACAAACCAACATAATATTAGCTTTAGTAACTGGTAAGAACAAATTGAAGGGGAAAAATATGAACGTGTATAGATTCTTTTTTTTTTTTTGGCAAAAATTAATGAAGCCGGGTAACAAATATTTGCAAGATTTCAAGAAAATTTACCCTAATAAGGAATTTGTTGATTAAAGATTCAGTTGATCTAGAAATATTAGAGCTGGCCTTACAAAGTAATTCCTAATCAGGAAATAAGAGTTCTGAAATCAATAACTTGAATAGACCTAATATAACCTAATCTTACATGAATAAATTGAGTAACTTGGAGCTATCTGATTACTTAATGAGCTCGAAAATTACAATATAATGTGGACTCATTATGTCCATGGATGGAAACTCTTAAGTTGATTTCATGGCTTAATTATGTTTCATTGCTTATATAGGAAGAGGAGATGCAGAAAAGTTGAGTATGATCCAAGTGGCTGCCATTTTTGAAGATTTTGCTAAAACAGGAGCAAGTATTCTAGATCTTCATGGAAAATTGATGGAGAAGATTGAGTGGCTTCCTTTATCTCTTGGCAAGCTATCAAATGTTACTGAACTAAACTTTTCCGAAAATCAAATCATGGCTCTTCCAACCACTATAGGCAATCTGAAAACCTTAAAGAAGTTTTACATCGCTGCCAACCAACTTATAAACCTTCCAAATTCATTTGGGGAGCTACATAATTTAACAGATGTCAATCTTTGTGCAAACATGTTAAAATCACTACCTGAGACTTTTGGGAACTTGAAAAACCTGATTAATCTAGATTTGAGTTCGAATAAGTTTGTGAATTTACCAAATATTGTTGGGGATCTTAGTTCTTTACAGAGATTGAATATGCAATTGAATGATCTTGAAGAACTTCCTTACACTATTGGATCATGCTCATCACTTTTAGAACTAAGATTAGATTTCAATCAGCTCAGAGCTCTTCCCGAGGCAATTGGGAAGCTTGAATGCTTGGAGATTCTTACCTTGCACTATAACAGGGTCAAAGGATTGCCAACAACGATGGGGAATCTTTCGCATCTCAAGGAGCTTGATGTTAGATTCAATGAACTTGAAAGCATACCAGAAAGCCTTTGTTTTGCTGTTAGCCTTGAAAAATTGAACGTTGGGAAAAATTTTGCGGACCTGAGAACCTTGCCAGAATGTATTGGAAATCTTGAGATGCTCGAAGAGCTAGATATCAGTGACAATCAGATAAAAAGTTTGCCTAATTCCTTCAGATTCTTAAGGAGGTTAAGAATTTTTCATGCTGATCAAACTCCATTAGAAGTGCCACCAATGCAAATAACAAAATTGGGTGCACAGGTACATTGTTTAACTTGAATTTTTGCCGTTCAAATTAGAAGCACAATCTGTAAAGAGTAAAGACTAAGCTGCTTCATTTCTCTTTTTTCAGGCTGTTGTACAGTACATGGCTGATTTCGAGAGGGATGTGAAGTCTCCAAAGATAAAGAAGAAGAAAAAAGGGTTATGCTCTTACATCTGCCCACTGCTCTGTTTTGGCACTGGGAGTCTGGGAGGTGATTAAATTCCATTCAGTTTATGAAGAAATAATGGTTTTAAGCGTCTCCTTTTATGTGTATATAAGTTGCTCTCACAATGTGTGCTATATTTATTGGTTTGCTGTACGTAAGAGTGGTAGAATTTAAGGTCTACTTCCCCTTTCGTTTGTCCATGTGAATTTGTTACAAAAAATCATGCTTTGTAAAAAATGCACATTCAAACTGCTAAATTATATTCTTCTAATGTTAATATAGCATTTGCAAAGCAGCAGATTCAGTCTTTTGATCAGTGAGAAAGGCTTAGGTATGAATGCGGGGACGTTTTGTCAAAGCCTCCATAGTTCATTAGTTGCATAATGGAATCCTTAATTCTTTAGAAGCCAATAAACTTTTTGTATCTGTCTCCCCATTTTTAAATCCATACAGAGAAAAGGGGATGATTTTCTTATTCGAATCTTGCGAGACAAAACAGCATCTTATGCAGAATGCTGTAAAATCCATTCAGATCTATATGGAAAAAGGGATAGATGACAACAAGAGTTCATGGCAAGTCAATGGGAGGATGAATTGGAATGCGCAATCTGCGATTGCCACAAGAAGGTTATATACAAAGTGGTTTATACAGAATGTCACAGGAATCATTCCATTGATGGGTATTCTGTTGATGGATGCAAAGAGTTCAAGGCCAATGATGAAGAGGGGACGAGCAAGGCCCTCACCAGTGCTGTAAGTTACTTCCACAAGGGTTACCAATGGAATGAGGTGATCAGGAAAGAAGAAACCAATTTCTCCTGCTGATGTTTTGATCCGTATGGGCAAAGTGGTTCTCCTTTCCAAATTTTTGCATTCATGTTAATCTTTAATATCCGGTTTCTACTTGAAAGAAAAACTCACAACGTTGAGCAAACAATAGGTAGCACAATTGGAACTAGCATATGTTCAGGCACACCTAATGTCAATGTATTTTATGCATTTAAAGTTNTTGTCACCTTACTCGTCATCATCTCAAGCATGATACAATTATTTTGCTCTTTGTTTCTTCTTCTTCTTTACAGCTTGTAGATTTCTTTACCAAGTCGCATTCTATTTCCCGTTTTCATTTTTTGGTTGGCAAACTCTCGATACTTGTAGTTGCCGCATCGTGAGTTTGAGGGGAGATGTTAAGAAATATAGGGTTAAATATATGGCTATTTTATTTTATTGTTTATTAAGGGTAGAATAGTCTTTTCAATTTCTTTTATTTAGCATATATATAATCTCTTTGTTTCTAGGTTAATTTATTATTTTGTATTCAATTGCATTATGCAGAATTAATGATACCTTAGCCTCTTTTTCCTTTTCTTTATTTCTTTGGATTGTTCAACGGTCACGTAAATCGATGATCATCTAGACTCTAGGTAAATGACATTATTCTTTCCTTTTTTTTTTGACTTTTTATCTTAAATTTTGGTGACAAGGAATTGGCTATCAAGGTTGGAAAGGGACGACACATCGGACCGATTCATATTGTAACTTTTACTGAAACTCTCTCTGTAGAAATTGGCTATAATAAAATACACATTTTGATTTTTGACTCTGCCTACTTTTCTCTCTTATATATTCTCTTTTCTTATTATTGTCTTTCTCTGTAGTTTTATAATAAAAAATAATTTTAAATTTCTTTATGATATAGAAATGCAAAAATGGCCTAAAAGTGAATTTTTTATGTAGAAATCTTAAAATGACAAACATTTATTAAAATAAAGTATACATAGTACGAACTAGGAATTCAATTTAGAAGTACTTATTTAATTTTCATTGATTTTATTGAGACGTATCTTTTTAGTGTCATTTGCCTAAATTTTTCATTATTCTTGCAACAACAAATTAAGGATGTGTTTGACACCCATTTTGGAGAAAAAATAAAATTTTGGAATAGTGATTGATTGAAGAATGTGTGGTTAAAAAGTGATGAGAATTTTTGAGTTTATGTGTAATATTATTTTATTGATAGAATGTGTGGTTGAAATGAAGAAAGAGGAAAAAAATGAGATATATTGTTAAATAAGCTTCTTTGTAAAAATTCTATTGTATTATTCTATGTTTTGTCTTAAATTCTTCTCTATTTTTACGATGTTACTCTTCACCTTTTTCGATCTTTCTTAACGCGGTCACTCGACACGAGCACACACATATATATATATATAAAGACTAGAGTTATAAATAGGGATGACAGCGGGGCGAGTATGAGACGGATCAGTCATTCCCACTCCAACCCCATTGGGTATTTTTATTACCTTGTCTCATCCTCGTACTCGGTTAAAGCGGGATGGGGGGAGGTAGGTCCCCTGCTCCATTTATCTCCCCATATGGTTTTTTCTTTTTATTTATTTTTATTTTT